CCGAGACTGAAAGTTGTGCATCCTATAGCTTGTGGCTGTACAAGAAGAGATGTAAGCAAGGCGTGGACGGCACTTCAGCCAGCCTCTACTTCCCTGCCTGGCAGAGCGAGCAGGAAAGGTTGCAGGAGAAGAGGTGGAGGAAGAGAGAAAAGGAAGAGAAAGGAGAAGACAAAAGAGTCTGTGACCCCCAGCCTAAGTCAAGTGGATGGGTCTCTCCTTTGTGCTGTTCCCAGCTATGTCTCTCTGCATACCCCAAATACACCCTACTCTGGTCAGTCATTTGGACTCTGCTGCTTGCTGGAGAATGTGACCTCCCTAAGGACAGGGGCAGCTTTATTTGTCATGGCGTCCCCAGCGCCTGCCCCCTAGAGAGCCATCAATAGAAGACGGAGGGCGCTGGGTGCTGACTCTCTGGGGCAGGCACTGCGCTGGATGCTTTTCCAGGAGGCAGATACTACCATTCCCATCTTATAGGCGAGGGAATGAGATGCAAAGAGGAGATAAGGAGTCATTCGGAGAGCTTTCAGGGGCAGGAGCATTTACAGAAGGGAGGAAAGTTGAGCGTGGTTATGTGTGCCCAGGTGAGCCAGGCATTTCCCGGGCACAGCCAGGCTGCCGGGCTCGGAACCCAGAGTGAGGTCTCATTAGCATTCAGAGGGGAAGAGCCATGGGGGATGCCGTCCAGAGCATTAGGAAGAGACAGACTGTGTTTTAATTATGACCTAGACTTTTGAACAAATCCTTTTCTCTGCTTGTCTGAGCCTTAGAGAAAACAACTTGTGGGAGGTGTACGGTCGGCAGCTGGGTCCACAGTGGTACCCGTACAGCTGTGTACACATCTGGCACACAGGTGGTGGGCAGCATGTGCCTTTTCTCCTTGAATTGCTCTGGGGTTGGTGAAGGTAACAAGAGTCAAGGTGGTACGGCAAGGTTGACCTGGTTTGGGCCCGGAGGGAGAGGGCGGATGGAGAGAGTGGAGGGAAACAGGACCGGCCCGCTCTTTCTTGTCCGCAATCTCCAGTGACCATGGCCATTCCAGACCACTCCCACCACTTCCTCCAGCCACCTCTGAGTCAACACGGTGGGCTTTCTTTGTCAAGCTCACGTCAGCCCTCCCTTCTCCAACTTGGGGGAAATTTTTGGAGTGGGGGGATGAAATTAAGAAGGGAAGAAAAAGAGGAGACGGTTAACAGGGTGGAAGTTAGACAAGCACAGATGCCACCACCTGCTGCTGCGGATTCTCAAGTGCTTGTTGACTCCTTGGAAGCCTTTGCCCTGAGTCTGTTTAACAGTCCATTCCAGGGGAAGGGGAGGAGAAGGAGGGCTTGGGGACAAAGGGCCTTTGAGCAGCTCCTGGAAAAGCACTGATTAGTTTGCTCAGGTCGGCAAACAGTGACTGGGGACTTGGGGCCCAAGGATGAACCGGGTGGATTTTCTGCCGAGTGCACAGCGTCCAGCGTGGGGGGAGGGAGTGAAGGCAAATATTCAAGGGACTGATGTGTCCAGAGGTTCAGACACAGAGAGAATAAACCATACTGGGCAGCCAGAGGAAGGGATAGGGCAGGGGAAGGGCTGCGGGCACCTGGAGTTCTGGTGTGTGGGCTCTAGCATACCCAATTCCTCCCCTCTCCCTGAAGCTGAGAGGCAGAGGGGAGGCGTAGCAGGCAGGTATCTCTGAGGTGGTCCTGATGGCCAGGGGCAGGGAGGACTGGGGTGGTGCCTCAGGGCGTGTGTTGAAAGGGAGACAGCATTTGCACGTCCAATCTGCAGAATGGCCTCTGCTGGGAGGCTATTCCCTTGGGGATTCGTGGGAGGAGGCTTCAGCCTCTGCCTCCAGCCTTGGCTTTCTCCACTCAAGGATTTTGAATGGCTCCCTCTTTCTCATGCAGTCTGTGTGTGACGCCTCCGTGGGAGCCCCTCCTTGACTTCCTCTTCTCTCCACCCTCAAAACTCTTCCCTTCCTCTAGGAAGCTTCCAAGATAAACGCCCAGTGCGCATGTATTAATTTAGAGTCACAAACTAGTACACTTTTAGAGTTGGGAGGTAATTAAATACTCTAATTACTTCTATATGCTATAGCTTTATGTCATTCTAGTTTGTATTCATGGGACATTGTTTTGTACCGTTCTTATTATTAATAAATATATTCTGTTTCTTAAAGGTAAATCCCTAAGGGTAGATATTTGTTTATTTGTTTGTTTGTTAGTTTACTGTCTCTTCCACAAGCATGTGAGCTCCGTGAGTTCAGGGGTGTGTTGTGTATCCTCCTGTGCCTGCAACAATGCCTGACTCACAACAGACACTCAACACATACTTGTTTATGTACATGAATGCTGTCAGGGTGGTGGCTTCTTTCCCCTTCTCCCTGCTAAGACAGAGCATGTGGTTGCAGGGTGCACGGTGGATGCTTCTGAATAAAGAAAGAATGAATGAAAAGAATAAATGATTAAATGAATGTGTGATTGGCTTTTGAGATGGGATTGGCCAGCCTTAGGCCATCATGCTAGTTGGCCTGTCTATAGGAAAATGCTTTTCAGCTGTTCACATTTTCTTAGCTGCTGCCAAGGCAGAGCTCATTCGCGGAGCAAGCTGGCGTCAGCTCACGCCTGTCTTCGTGAAGAGGGGAGTGGGTGTGTAACTTTATCTGTTCACTCTGGCCATACTACCTCTCTTTGCCCTTCTCTCCCTTATACCATCTGACTTGCCCACATCTACTGACTCCTCTGGTATGTGGGGACAAACGGAGAGTGTTTGTGAGGTTGTTCCCCCCCTCCATTGTGCTACTACTTTAAAAAAGAAAACAACTCTTTATTTTGGAAATAGTAAAATGTGTGCTATAGTGAATGAATCCCAGAGATATTTTTAGGGTATATTATCTCTGTGCTTATGCCAAAGCTTTGACAAATGCAATTATGGTATTATCAAGCAATTTTAAAAAAGGAGAAAAGAAACAGAGAGATCTGCTTTAAATTTGGGGTCTTTCATGGGCTACCCAGAACTGTTATTTAACTGGAGTGATAAGGAAGGGAAGAGACAGCTTTACTTATTATGCGTCGGCTGCTATGCTAGGCTCTTTACACATGTTATTTCAGAAAGAGGGAGAACAAATAAGATCCACGGGTCAAATCAAATCAACTTTTATTGAGTAGCCACCAAGTGCAAGAGGTCGGGGAATATATAAATATTCCATAGCCATAGGGTTATTCTTGAAATACGAGCTGTTGACAAGTTATAAACTTAGAAAAAGTTAAATAATAAGGCAAGATTAAGATAATATTGTGAGCCAGCAAGAGGAAGCAATGACTGTAGGACTTTTGGAGCTAGAAGAGATGGTCTGGCCTAACTTCTTTGACAACAGCCAGAGAAAAGGAGGTGAAAAGGGGAGAAACCGCCAGTTGGAGGTTTTGCACACAGCTATGTGCAGAGCTGGCAGCAGAAGCTGGGCCTCCGGATCCCACTACTGTTTGTATTAAAGTCCTGAGACATCTCCAGATAGCCGCTGAATGACCAGCGCAGACGGTTCATGGTGGTACAGGCGTTCAAGGAAGGGGCAGTCACTTCAGGCTGGGGGAGGGCAGATCAGGGCAGGATTCGGGGAGAAGGTGGGAGCTGAAGGGTGGTTTGGATTCAGTAGATTACACAGAGCAGGAAGGGCTTTCCAGGAGGGCGAAATGGTGTAAACAGGCCCAGCGGTAGGATATCAGCAACGCTGTATACACGAGCCCCAGCGTTATCATCACCTGGCAGCTCTGACCGCCAGGAGCCCGGGCGCCGTCCCCACGCTGCCCTGTCTCCCTGCTGTGGCTTCTGCCCCCTTCTCTCTGCCATCCCTGCTGCTGCACAAGTGCTAACCGTGATTATTTCTCTGCTGCTCACTCACCTCTCTACCCCCATTTCCATGCCACCTTTCATAGTACCAAGAGTTCCTTCTCCAAAATGTGGCTCTTACCATGTTAAAAAAATCATTCACTCACTTCCAATTGCTTGCCAGATGATGTCCAGCCCCTTAGTGTGTGATGGGGTCACGGCTTACCTCACCTGCCACCCCTCCTGCGGCACCTGCCTCCAACCTGGTGGGGTACACACCACAACCTCAGGTTCACAACTTCAGGCCTTGGCACAGGCTGTTCCCTGGGCTGGAGTGCCCCTCCTCTACCCCTTCATGCCCGCCAGCCTGCCCTCCTTCCTAGCTTTCGTTTGCTCAAGACTTATTGAACACATAATAACATGCAAATCCCCCTACTCACTCCCTGCCAGTTAGTTGTTTCCTCCTCTGCACTCCTGTAGCCCTCTGCTTTAATTATTTGGATATCGTCTGTGTCTTCCATTAGCCTGAACTCATTTCTGGAAGGGATTTTCTTTTATTCATCTTCACATCGCTAGCACTTACCGCTTTTGGTTTCGCATATGAAATAGACACTTTCTAAGTGTTTTGTTGAAAATAAATGAAATGAAATAAAAGTTAAGTACTGAGAAATGGACTAAATACGTTGAATATCAGGCTGGGAGGTTGGGATGCAATTTATCTCTCAAAAACTAGATTACGCATCTAGGAGCCGAATCACATCTGGGGAGTTTGTTAAACATTTACATTCTGGGGCATACCCTTTACATGTTGCTGGGAGTGGGCCTGGACATTTTTGTTGTTGTTGTTGTTGATTTAGATAATAAGCTCCCTCTGGGATTCTGGACAGTCTGGCACCAGTCTGGAGACCAACCTTTGGGGACACCGTGTCATGGACCACACTAAATACACCTTGGGCATTAGCTCAGACATCCTTCCTCCAGCGTCTTTAGCCTTTCTTTTCTTAAGCCTTTGAAAGAGTGACTCAACTGAATGCTTTAGTGCAGCCTCCTCAGGGAAATAAATAACTGGATTTAAAGTCTATTCGATTCTAAGCATCCTCATCCCAGTTCTCAAAGTCCCTTTTGCTGTGGACTTCAGGGGAGACTGAAGCCCAAGCCACACCTTACTCACTCCCTTTCTCTCCTGCTGCCAGGTTGTTCGCTGTCAAATGTGGGGGCTGCTTCGAAGCCATCGCACCCAATGAGTTTGTGATGCGGGCCCAGAAGAGCGTATACCACCTCAGCTGCTTCTGCTGCTGCGTCTGCGAGCGGCAACTGCAGAAGGGCGACGAGTTTGTCCTGAAGGAAGGGCAGCTGCTCTGCAAGGGGGACTACGAGAAGGAGCGGGAGCTGCTCAGCCTGGTGAGCCCAGCAGCCTCAGACTCGGGTGAGTGCCCGATGGTGGGCAGGGCTGAGGCAGGGTGGGTAGAGTGGGGTGGGGTGGCCATATGAGTTGCTTCTTGCCTAGAGGGCCAGCCACTAGGGCAGCCTAGCTCCATGGCAAGGCAGTTCTGTGTATTACAGGAACTTTCTCTATAAACTCAGTAATCTCTTATCAGTCAGCTACTACCATGACAATGGTGTGTAACAAATTACCCCGAAACTCCATGGTATACAGCCATAAACATCTCACACATGCACAAGTCTCTGAGTTAACTGGAGTGACTCTGCTTCAGGCTGAAGGCTTCCAGTTAGCTGGAGTCTGCTGATCTCAGCTGAGCTGAGCTCCAGGCTGTAGACCAGGTTTAGGTCTGCTCTGTGTGACTCATTCTGAAGTCCAGGTTTGAGGAGAAGCAGCTACGGGGCATGATTTCCCGGCAGTGGTAAAAGTGCCACACAAGCACATTTCAAGCCTCTGCGCACATTGTGTCTGCTAATATCCCGTTGGCTAACGCAAGCGTCAATTTGAAACCCAAAGTCAAGTGGAGAGGAAATACACTCCATGTACCCCAAAGCCGTGGGAGGGTATAGACACCTAATCCTATCAGAGAGAATGATGAATTAGAACCAGTAATTCAGGCTACCGCAGTCACTGAACCGCTCTAGGCTTTTGTTTCCTCGTCTGTCAAGGGGGAAGGATGGAGTCTCTCTAAGGCTTGGCGGGTCACATAAAGAAAGGAACTAGAATGATTTTGTTCCTTCTCCTCGTCACCCACCTGACACTTCCCCCTCATTGCCATGAGGGGAGGGGAAAGAGAGGAGACAGGAGAGGTTCAGAGATTTTATAGAGCAGGTTTCACAAGGCCAAAGAAATTACCTTAAATTAAAACTGCCTAGATTAAGCATGGGATGCCTTTTTGGGGTATTAGTCCCCACAGGGCAGCATTGTCTTATCCACAAGAATCTGTGAGATCCAATGAGATAAAATTCACGTGACCTTACTAGTTCTTGCCATTGCCCGTTCTGGTCCATTTCCAAGCCCGGTAAAGTGCTGACCAGGGACACCTCTGCAGCCTCACTCTGCCCCTCTCTTTGGCCTCTTCAGGGGCCTCTGATCTCTCTCACTCCACACTCCAGCCTTGGGGACACCAGCGCCTATCAGTGTCTCTTCCCGCTCTGCCCCTCTCCTTCCTTCTTTTGTCTTGCTAGCTTATCCTTCAAGCTTCCCTCTAACACCTACTTCATCAGGAAGACTCTTATTCCCTGATGTTGGGAGAGTTTACCCATAACTTCTCCTGCTGGGACGTTTATCCCACTTTACTGTGGTTACATTTGGCTGTTGTTCAGTCTGTTCAGAGTGCTAAACTCCATGAGGGACAGTATGTGTCTTTTTTACCATGGCACCCACAGGGCTTAGCATAGGCCTGGAACACTGAGGGTGCTCCATCAACTCTTTGCTAAAGAATGAATAAACAATGAAATGAAAGTATGGCATGGTGCTGAAGAACAGAAGCTCTGGAGACAGACAGGTGGGTGCTTTATCCAGGCTGTACCACTTACATCTATGCGACTTTGGGCAAGATTCTGAGCCTCTCTAAGCCGCCATTTCTACAACTGCAAAATAGTGATAATCATGCCTACCTAATAGGGAAATAAACAAGATAATGCATATAAAAGCCTGGCGTTCAATAAATGTCGGTGTTTAACACCTGCTGGCTGGTGTTAGCGTCTTCATAGTGTTGTGTTTTGCTTCCTTTGCCTCCCAGTTAGTTGGTTCTTCTTGTCTGACCCTGCTTGCAGCCTTAAGACATGTGATGCTAGGACAATCCAAACTCCTATCGGGCTTGTTGGTTTTAAGTTTTCCTGGATTTATTTTAATTTGAGAGAAATTTCTCTTTGTCAGGAACACTGGCGCTGACGTACTGAATATCACCGTCAAGGGTAAATGGGCCTTTTCTAATGCCTCCACTTGGTGTCACAAGGTCAGCTCACCCTGTCATTTCCCCCCAGGTGTCGTGCTGTGCCCACCCACTCAGGTCTCCTCCCCAGAATATTGCAAAATTTTCAAATTCCCAAAGGGCTTAGGTGCTCTAGTCATCAGTATATCAGCATGATCATAGAAAGACATGCACACCCAGGGGAACATAACCATTCCTTCTCACATGGTCACAAATGCTATGGTGTAGCTTCTCTTGGTACACAATTGTGTGGGGCTTGATAGTAAGTTATCCAATTGGCCCCTGTGTTAAAAGTTTACAGATTTTCCTTGACTGCAACATCAACATGAGGCATTAGTGTATTATCCTTATCCTCCCACCCCTGCACAAAAAGGCAATAAGAGAAATCTGGATCTGAGCAGCATTGATAGATTAATAGAATTATAACGTTCAGAGTGAAGGAACTGCAACAGGTCCACTTTTCTGGTCACATTTTCAGCAATATGTTCAGTTCTGGGAATTTCTCTTTGAGGCTGATATCGACAAATTGGAGCTTTCCAGTTCATTCATTCATGTATTCAGTAGGCATATCTTGAGTGCTCGCTTTACACCAGGCACAGCCTCATCATATGAATGATAAGAACGGTGCGGGAGTAGGGAGGTCTCAAAACCATGTCAAATGAAGGAATTGTCTAGGCTAGAAAAGTAAAGACTAAATAAGGACATAACTGTTGCCTTCAAATGGTTGGATCAGACTGATTTTTTTCCTAAGTTCAGAGAGCAGAATTAAAATTCATTTATTTAATTATTCAACATAATCATTGAGTGCTTTCACTGTAGATAGAAAGGAGTACAGGGAAACACTTTTCAGCTCAACACAGAGGATGTTGGAATGTCATTATAATTATTAGGTCTAACAAAGAGTAAGACTATTCAAGATACTACCTCCCCATTTGTTGAAAGTAATATTGGTGGTGTGGGACGGGACAGTGGTTCTAGAAGATCTCTGTTATCCCTCTCAACTCTAAAAATCAATAATTATTTTTGTGGTTTTAAATGAAATGACATTCAAGTCTCAACTAGAATGAAATATCTCATTTGGATCACAGATTTTTGTCAATTATATAAATGCTGCCTGTCTTGTGTTGTAAAATGTTTTGTGTATCCAAGTGTCCTTCACTAATGAGAGGACAAACTTCCAGAGAATAGGGTTGTAGCTTTTAATTCCTTTGTTCCCTTAACAAAGCTTAGCATGAGGCCAAGAGGAGAGTAAGTGATCAATAAGTACTTAATGAGTTGAATTAAATCTTCAAGGAGCGAAGTCCACCTCATATTAGAGGTTTACAGAAAGTAAACAATATTAGATTCTGTCCTAGTACAAATACAATTTCCCCTCTGGTTTCTGTCTTGAGCACCATACGTATATATTGTAGATGTTTAGTAAATATTTGTTGAGTGAATGATTGACCTGTCATCTTTAACACTTTTATCAATGATTCGGATGAAGACACACAAGGCAGGTTTATTCAATTTGCAGATGACACAAACCTGGCAGGGAATGCTGGCGTGGCAGCTGATACTCTCAAGGTTCAAAAACATTTTGACACACTAACAGATCAGCACAAAGTTGGCGAGATGAAATCTAACCATCAGGCTCCAAAATTCAATTGTATTAGTAGGAAATGGGGCCTGTTTGGGTGGAATTCCATGTGGGGTTGTAGTTGATAAGGTCAATAAGGGCTAAGAAGACAAATGCTACATTAATAGAAGTATAGTGACCCTAACATGTAATTATAGTTCTGTTATTTATTTTTTTGTGTTAGAACACATTTAGAATACCTGGGCTAATTTTAAATGATGCATTTTAGGAGGTCATTGAGTACCTAGAGAGTCTTGAGAAAAGTGATTAGCTTGTTAATGATAAATGACGAAAGAAACTCAGTATATTTAGCTTTGTAAAAATAAGGCTAAGCAATATATGAGAGTCACACCCAAGGTTACAGACCCATGTACTAGGGGAGAAATGACAGATTTTGGTTCCATATAGTGTAGCACTGTGTCCAACAAGGGTGCAGACTGAACTACCTTTGTGGGAAGTGAATTTGCTTGTCCCTTCACATTTTAATCACAGTTGGTAGAAGACTGCACCGATGATCTCTAGGGCTGCTTTAATCTAGGATTCTAGAATCTATGGTTTTATGATGCTGACCGATCTGACTTACACAAAAGCACTTGGAACGTTCACAACCACATGGGACACCAAACTCAGGAGATCTTTGGCTGTCAGAGGCTCTTTTCTGATGTGGCTCAACCTTTTTGTCCTGATCCCTGCTTTGCCGGTGGCCTTGAGGCAGCCTCCCAAGCAGATGAATGGCATTTGTAGCCAGAGTCAGACAGTTTTCTTGGGGGTCACTGGACAACCTGGATGCCCAAGGTCTCCAGGCAAGACCCCGCAACATTCACACCTGAGCTCGTCTCCTTCACCAGAGAATCAGGGGCTTGAGATTGGCAGGCACATCGGAGCTCATCCAGTCCAGACTCCCAGCAGATGCTCACCCAGCTTCCGCCCGAGTATCTTCCACCACGGGGAACTAAAGAGATACAGGGGGAAAATACCAGAGTGCTTTTCCTGCTCTCTACTCTTCACTCAGCCAACACTGCTGACACTAAATGTGTGGGGGGTTTCCCCGAAACTCCAAGCAATTCCCCAGTGGGCACCAGCTGGGTGTCCTGTAATTCAATTCAATTCTGACACCATCTACCTGGACATAACGTCAGATCCACAGGTGAAGGACTCAATCCTACAGGACTTCCCCAGCCCCTCTTCAGATGTAAGTAGTAGGTCGTCACCTGTACTTCTGACCTACTGCCTACACATTGAGGTTCCTAAAACCCTCTCCTTGGGTTCAATTAATTTGCTAGAGCAACTCACAGAACTCAGGGAAACACTTCATTTATGTTTATGCATCTATTACAAAGAATATTTTAATGAATAGAAATGAACAGCCAGGTGAAGAGATGCATGAGGCAAGGTATGCTGGAAGGGGCTGGAGCCTCCATGCCCTCTCTG